ATTAAAATCATACAAGGTATGTTTTCTACCACAATGGAATTAAATTAGAAATTGATTATCAATTAGTAACTTTCAAATCCATTTCTATATGCAAATTAGACAGTCACAATGTATTTTGAACTAAATGATAATGAAAACATAACATGTCAAAATTTGTGGAATGCAGGTAATGCTGTGTATAGAGAGAAGTTTATAGTTTTAATGCTTATTTTTGGAGACAAGAAAGCCTAGACTCATTGATATAAACTTCTATCCTAGGAAGCTAACTAAAAGTAGCAAATTAAATACAATGAAAAAAGAAGAAAGAAAATTATCAAGATAAGTGCAGAAATAAATGAAACGGAAAAGAGAAAACTGATTGAGAAAAGCAATGAAACTAAAAGATAGTTCCCTGAAAATCATTAAAATTTATAAGGCTCTATGTAGACTTATAAAGATAAAAAATAGAAGACATGTTATCAATAACAAGAATAAAAGCAGGGGCATCACTAAATGATACAAAATGATCCTAAAGATAAAAAAGGATAATAAATAACTCTAAGAAAATTTGACAATAATTTACGTAAAATGAGAAAATTCTTCAAAGGACACAAATTATCCCTGAATCAAGAAGAAACAGGAGGGGTTTCCCTGGTGGTGCAGTGGTTAAGAATCTGCCTGCCAATGCAGGGGACACGGGTTCGAGCCCTGGTCCAGGAAGATCTCACATGCCGCAGAGCAACGAAGCCCTTGTACTACAACTACTGAGCTTGTGCTCTAGAGCCCATGAGCCACAACTACTGAGCCCACATGTCACAACTACTGAAGCCAGCGCACCTAGAGCCCATGCTCCACAACAAGAGAAGCCACTGCAATAAGAAGCCTGTGCACTGCAATGAAGAATAGCCCCCGCTCGCCACAGCTAGAGAAAGCCCGCATGCAGCAACGAAGACCCGATGCAGCCAAAAATAAATAAATATATTAAAAAAAAAAAAAAAGAACAGGAAAGTTGAATAGTACTATATCTATTAAGAAAATTGAATTTGCTATAAAAAACTTTCCCACAAAGAAAACTTCAGACTCATATCACTTCAGTGGTAAATTTTATCAAACATTTAAGGAAGAAATAACACTAATTTTATATATATATATATATATATATATATATTTCCAAATATATATGAGGAGAAAAGAAAAAAATACCTCATCAATTATTTTAGAAGTCCAGCAATACCTGATTAAAATAAGCAAAGATTTTACAAAAAAGAAAACTACTAATATCCCTCTTGAACACAGATGCAAAATTTCTGTGAGATATATTTGCAAAACTATTCTAACATATATATAACATATATGTATATAATGACAAATCAAGATTTATGACAGGATTCTACATTGGTTTAGCATACAAAAATTTATGTAATTCATCATACATTTAGAATAATGGATAATAATGGAAAAAATAATATTTTTATTTCAATAGACATAAAACATTTAACAATATTCAAATACAAATTTATGATAAAAACTCTCAGCAAAGTAGTAATAGAAGGGAACTTCCTCAATCTTATAAAAGGCAAGTAAAAAAATTTATAGCTAACATGATAGGCAAAGTTTAAAATGTGAATTATCCCTCTAAGATCAGAAAAAAATGCAAAGACATCCTCTCTAATCAGTTCTGTTTAACACTGTACTGGAGGAGCTAGACATTGCAGCAAGAAAAGAAGAAAAAAAATAGGTATACAGTTTAGAAAAAAAGTTCTTTGTAGACATCATCATGTACATAGAAAGCCCTACTAAATGTACCAAACAGCTTCTTGAACTTACAAGCGAGTCTAGAAAATTCATAGAATGCAAGATTCCTCTAAAAAATTAAGTGTATTTCTATGTACAAGCAATGTATATTTAGAAATTAAAATTTTAAAAAAGTACCATTTACAATAGCTTTAGGAAACATGAGTAATTTAGAGATAATTTTAAAGACATATATGTGAAACTTGTCCACAAACACAACAAAACATTGCAGATAAATATTCAATAACACAGCTTAACAAATTTGGAAGAGTAGACACTATAAGAATTATGCTATCAGACTACAATGGAATTAAACTAGAAATTTATAACAGATCACTCCAAAAATATTTGGAAAGTTTCCAAATATTTATAGATTAAACAACACACCAAAATAACTCATGGCTCAAAGAAAAGCCTTGGGAGAAATTTAAAAATATTTTGAAATAAATGAAAATGAAAATACAACCTATCAAAATTTGTGGGAAACAGTCAAAGCACTGCTTAGAGGAAAATTTATAGCATTAAATGCATATATTAATAATAAAATTATTATTAATCATAAAAACCAGTGCAGAAATCAATGAAAACAGGAAAATAATTGAGAAAATCAACAAAATCAAAAGTTGGTTTTTGAAAAATTCGATAAAATTGATAAACCCCTAGCCATACAATCAAGAAAAAGAGAGAAGATATAAATTATAAATTATTATAATTATTATAAGAAATGAAAGAGTGCCATCACTACTGATCCCACAGACATTGGAAGGAAATAAAGGAATATTACTAACAACGCTATGCTCACATATTGATAACAAAGATGAAATGGACCAATTCTTCGAAAGACACAATCTATCAAAACCCACACAAAGGGGGCTTCCCTGGGGGCACAGTGGTTGAGAGTCTGCCTGCCAATGCAGGGGACACGGGTTTGTGCCCCGGTCCGGGAAGATCACACCTGCCGCGGAGCGGCTGGACCCGTGAGCCATGGCCGCTGAGCCATGGCCAATGGGCCTGCGCGTCCGGAGCCTGTGCTCCGCAACGGGAGAGGCCACAACGGTGAGAGGCCTGCGTGCCGCAAAAAAAAAAACAAAAAACCATACAAAGAGAAACAATCTGAATAGGCTTAAATCTATTAAATACATTGAATAAATAATAATCTTCCAAAACATACAGCAACAGGCTTAAAAGGTTTCACTGGTGAATTCTATCAAATATTTAAACAAATGACACCATTTTTATTCAATCTGTTCCACAAAGTAGAAGCAGAGGGAGCACTTCCTAACTCATTCTATAAGGTCAGCATAACTTTAAATATCAAAAACAAAGAAGTTACAAGAACTGGAGAACTACAGCTAATATCTCTCATGAACATAGATGCAAAACTCTTCAACAAAATATTAGCAAATTAAATCCACAATGTATAAAAATAATTATAAACCATGACCAAGTGGAATTTATTCCAGGTATGCAATACTGTTTTAACATTAAAAGATCAATCGATTTTACTTCTCACATCAAGAGGATAAAAAAGAAAGGTCATATGATCTTATCAATAGTTGCAGGAAAATCATTTGATAAAATCAAACTCCCATTCATGAGAAAACCTCTCAGCAAACTAAGAATAGAGGGGAACTTCCTCAACTTTATAATAAACATGTACAATCTACAGCTAACATATATTTAATGGTGAGAAATTAGATGCTTTCCCCCTAAGACTGGGAACAAAGTAAAATTGTCCCCTCTCATCTCTCCTGTTCAACATCATACTGGAAGGCCTAGTTAATGCAATAAGACAATAAAAGCAAATAAAAGGTATACAGATTGGGACAGCAGAAATAAAACTCTTTGTTTGCAGGTGTAAAACTCTTTGATTGTATATGTAGAAAATTCCAAAGGATGGACTAAAAAAATTTGCCTGGAACTAATAAGAGTTTATAACTAGGTTGCAGGATACATGGTTAATATACAAAAGTCAATTTCTTTCTTATATTCGGCAATGAGCAATTTACATCTGAAATTAAAAACGTAGTATCATTCACATTAGTACCAAGAAAATAAAATACTTAGGTATAAATCTAGCAAGTTATGTGTAAGATCTGTATAAGAAAAACTAAAAAAACTCTCATTAAGGTAATCAAAGAAGATATAAATAAATGAGTAGGAAGATTCAATATTGTCAAGATATCAGTTCTTACCAACTTGATCTATAGATTCAATGCAATCACAAGCAAAATCCTAGCAAGTTACTTTGTGCATATGGACAAAGTTATCCAAAAGTTTATATGAAAAGGAAAGAGACCCAATAAAAGTTTGAAGAACAAAGTTGGAGGACTGATATTACCTGACATCAAGGCTTATTATAAAGCTACAGTAATCAAGACAGGATAGTATTGGCGAAGGAGCAAATAGACCAATGCAACACGACAGAGAGCCCAAAAATAGACTCACACAAATATATTCAACTGATCTTTGATGAAGAAGTAAAGGCAAATCAAAGGAGAAAATATAATCTTTTCAACAAAGGTTGCTAGAACAACTGGACATCCACATGCAAAAAATGAATCTAGACACAGACCTTGCACCCCTTACAATAATTAACTCAAAATGAATCACAGACCTTGTTATAAGCTGAATATTTGTATCCCCCTCAAAATTCATACATTGAAACCTAATGCCCAATGTGATGGTACTGGGAGGTGGGGTTTGGGGAGGTGCTTAGGTCATGAGGGTGGAGTCCTCATGAATGGGATTGGTGCTTTTATAAAAGAGGCCCTAGAAAGCTCCCTTGCCCCTTTCACCATGTGAGGACACCAAAGAAGGTTCTGTTCATGAGGCTATGGGCCCCCACCAGACACTGAATCTGCTGGCACCACGCTCTTGGACTTCCCAGCCTCCAGAACTGAGAAATAAGTGTTGTTTATAAGCCACCAAGTTTATGGTATTTTTATTATAGCAGACTGAATGGACTAAGAGCTAAATGTAAAACACAAAGTTCTTAAAGTCTGTAAGATAATGTCGGAGAAAATCCTAGAAATCTTGAGTTTGACAATGAGTTTTTAAATATGACACTAAAAGCATGATTCATGAAAAAAAATTGATAAGTTGGACTTCATTAAAATTAAAAAGTTTTGCTCCGTGAAAGACACATGTTCCCCTGCTAACCGAAAGTACAACGTTTCTATAAGACCTTTGGTAAGCTGAACGGCATAAAGTGAAGAAGAAATTACCTTAGGACACGGCTTGCTCATGGATGCACAGATGCTCATAGACACAGTTCAAAGCTACGGGGGCTTGATGGAGTTGGGTGGTGTCACTCTCACTGCTCAGGTGTGTCTGCCTCTATAACGGCTGGCTGCAAAACAAACATTGAATGCTATTTTCGCTTTTTTTTGGTCTTTTTTTTTTTGTAAAAGCAAAAATCCTTTTTGATTTCTTTCAGTTAGTGAAAACACATCTTTTGTAAAAGAGAAGTGGCATAAAGCGAACTTTTAGAAAGCAGGGGATCCCTGTAATGGGAACTCTGTACTTTCTGTTCAATTTTGGGTTTTCTTTTTGTTTTTTGGGTTTTTTTCTGCGATACGCGGGCCTCTCACTTTGTGGCCTCTCCCGTTGTGGAGCACAGGCTCTGGACGCGCAGGCTCAGCGGCCATGGCTCACGGGCCCAGCCGCTCCGCGGCATGTGGGATCTTCCCGGACCAGGGCACGAACCCGTGTCTCCTGCATCGGCAGGCGGACTCTCAACCACTGCGCCACCAGGGAAGCCCCAATTTTTTTTTTTTTAATGTAAAACTGCTCTGAGAAATAAAACCTGTTAATAATAATTTAAAAAAAAAAAACCTCAAGAAGACTTAAATAAATCAAGATCTATACCATGTTCATGGATTAGAAGACAATATTATTAAGATGGCAATTCTGCCAAAATTGACCTATAAGTTCACCACAATTCCAATTAAAAACAGTATTATTTTAATAGAAATCGACAAGGCCCCAAAACTTATGTAAAAATGCAAAGTACTAGATGATTCAAAAGAATTTTGAAAAAGAAGAGTAAAACTGTAGGACCTGACAATACCCGACTTCAAGACTAACAGTAAAACTAAAGTAATCAAAGAAATATTTTGGTTTGCAGACAATGAGGTTGGGCAGGATTGTGTTCAATGCTGGAACACAATATCTTTTTACTTTAAACTCAAAGTTGATGCAGACCCAGGGGAGTTCTACCTGAAATGAAGGAAGGCAAAAAGAGCAACAACACCTTAGAACTTTATTGTTGTGTCAAATAGCACGGAACTAATAGGAACTGAGAAATACTCAATAATAGGACTATACAGGATTGAAGATATACTCTCAATGAGCATCTGTAGCTGTGTGCCAGGTCAAGAATGTCAACTGTTAACACTCTAGCAGGATTCTTACTCCTTCTTTCCAACCATATCATTTCATAGTCCCCTAAGACCTCCTTCTTCTCAATCGGGTCACTTTCGGAGGAGGAGCCCTAAATCCTCCAACCTCTCTGTTACTTGGTATGCCCTGATACTTCCAATCTCACTTCGAGCACTGGGATGTGGGGTGAAACTGGACAGAGGGAAACAATACTCAGAGCGTGGGGTATGATTTTGGAGACCAGGGTTTCAGACTTTGTTCTGTTATGGTCTCTAATCTTTACAGTGTCCCATCATTAGGTCTCTTTTTCAATCTGAAAATTGAGGGAAGTGGACCAAATGTCTGAGAAATCAACTCTAATGTTCTATGGTTTTATAATTCTATGGATAATTTAAGTGACAAAACCAAATTATAGCTACTGTTGAAACTGCACAGACCATACCCCATTATCTTGGTAACCTTAAAAACACCTTGTTAGTACTCCATATAGAAGCTTGAAACAATTCTAAGTTGCATCTTACCTCTCTTACTTACAATGAAGTGATGTTCTATGATTGTGAAGATTCCATGGTAAACAATCATCTGTTTTCTCAGTTGGACACATCTCTTTCAAAAGTATTTAACAGGTAATTCTTTTAAATGGTGACATTTCAAGGTCAATGTTTTCTGTGCTTCATATTCTTCACAGACTCTTCTTATTATCTAATTATATCTTCATATTAAATATGCCATAGGAGTAGGGATGACATATTTTAATCCTCATTTGACAGTCATACATGAGATTTAGATGAAATGAATTGACTCTGGATCATACACATGGGTCTCTAGAATGTAATATCCAAAAAGGCAGGGATTTTTTTGGGTGGGAGGGGTGTTCTGTTTTATTCACTGATGTTTCCGTAGTGCCTAGAACAGTGCCTGACACAGCAGATTTAATACACATTTGTTGAACGAATAAATGAATGAACAAATCTGATTAGTGACGGAAGAGGTCTAGTAATTCTCTAAACCCTCAACCATTGTTCCTTCAGTATTGACAAGCGTTGTTCTCTGTCCTCATGCTCTCCCCAATTTTCCTATCTTTTCTGGAAGCAGCTGTCCGGAGGTTTGCGGAGGAAAGGCCAGTGAGCCCTCGCCACTGAGGGGTAACCGGAACCCCAGCCTCACAGTGATGGAGCAGGGAAAGGAGGGGCGTCTATGGGGCACTCCTCCTTGAGATACTAAAGCTGACGCTTCCCTGAGTTTACCAAGGACGTCGGAAAAGAAGGTTCGCTTGGTCCCTCTGTCCCGAGGATGCTGGTCTCACACAGCTTCTGGTGGCGGAGGTGGGCGGTGAGGGTGGAGGGATTCTCTAAAGAGGGCCCCATGGTCCCAGGCCCAAAGTGGCCCGGGTTTGGCCGGCGCGCTGAGGCTGCCACTCTCGCGGTTCCCGCCTGGCGGCTGGCTGGCAGCGGCGAAAGGCGGGGCGGTCGCGCTCCCCTCCGGGTCGCTGCGGCTGTACCCGCCCCAGCCCCGCCCCCGCCGCCGACCCGGCCGCCGATCGGGCGGGGCTTGTGGGGGGCGGGAGGCGGGGCCTGAAGAGGGCGGGGTGGCCGCGCGGGGAGCCGGCGGCCAGGGCGACGCTCAGACTGGGCCGGGCGCTCCGGCTGCGCGGGCTCTCGGGCGCCGCGGCGACAGCATCCTCCTCCTCCTCCTCTCTTTCTTTTCTTCCCCTCCGCTTCTTTCTTTTCTTTATCCTTCTTCCCCTGCCCCGTCCCCCTCTCTGCTCCTTCTCCGGAGGACGTTAGGTCCTCAGGTCCCTGAACGGTGGCAGCGACGACCGCGGGTGCATCCAGTTTCTGCGCCCAGGTAAGAGAGCCGTCCCCACCTCTGTATAGGGTGCTTTTCTTTCTCCTGCCTCGCCCACCGCGTAGAGGGAGGAGAAGGAGCCCAGGAAAGGAATGGGAATGGGGAGGGGTTGTCTCGTCCTCTGTGCCTTGGAAGCAGGCACAGGTTGGCCGAGCTGTCCAGTCTTCCAGCTGAAGGAAGCTTCAGGCCCGGCCTCTCTAGGTGTCACTACTACGCAGCAGGGGACCAGGGCTGCTACCTGGGTTCTAGATTTGTAGAAGGGTGTGTGACCTCGGTAAGTACCACTTTGAAACGCCCGGGAATTTACGTCGGGTTAGGATATCTGTCTTGAGAGATATCCTTGTAAAAGAATCTCGAGATAGAGGTTTTTTGTTTTCTGGGTTTTTTTTGTTTTTTGTTTGTTTGGTTTTTTTGTCCATCTAACTGCAGAGAACTGCACGCTGACGAATGAGTAAGTTAGAGAAGCCTTGTCAATTTGACATCATTTTCCCTGTAATTGTCTCAGAAACAGCTTGGAAGAGCAAGATTGATGAATATAATTTTAGGAAAATGAAAAATTAATGTCTGGTCTTGTTGGAGGGCGGGACACGAAAAAATGAGTCTGGGTGAGCTTGAGCGTCCACGTAGTCTCTTTTTAAACGATGGGGGTGGGAAGCAGCATATACAGTGCATCTGTTTTCTTTTTCTTCTTAAAAGGTGCTTTGGGGGCTGCAGTGCTGGATGCCTTCCTTCCCCAGCCTCTTCTTTTGTTTAAGGATGGAAATTTAAAGAAGGAGTGTGTGAGAGGAGCCAGGAGTGGGGATGTGTGTGTTTGGGTGTGTGTAGGGGGGAGGGGGTAGTAAAACGGATGGGGTCAAAAAAAAAATCCTTGAAAACTGGAAATGGATGTTATATTGCCTAGCATCAGGGTTTCAGGGTTTTGTCAGAAAGTAAAAAAAGCTTTATTAGCAACAAGCCTGTTTGTAACAATTGCTGTGTGCTGTCAGCTGTAAGCCCTTAGCATAATGCTTCCAGCACATAGACCCTTTAAAACTGACTCGATGTGAAGGGTTTTTGTTTAAATGCTCTCACACACACACAAGCATGCACAGGGGTGTGGTGGTACACACCACATACACACACACACATAAACACATTTGCATATATAATACACTATATACCTAATGTTGAAAAAGGAAGTGGATAATTAAAGATGAATCTTTAAATATCCTTGAAGGTTTGGGATTATGGGGTGAATGAAATTTGTAGTGCAAAACAAATATATGTTGTTGGGTGGTATATAATTTTGGGTGTGAGGCAAAAGGATTAATGAATATCAGTAAGGTACTAACTTAAATGTTAAAAATATAATTTATTTTAAAATGATCGGTCAGGGAGAGGAAATGACTGCTAACTGAAATTGAGGTTTGCAGCCTCAGTGAGGCGATGGAGAACAAAGCCTTTTATGTGAGCCACATTATGCAAAATGTCCCATGCTTGAGCTGCAGGTACCAGCCTAGTATAAAGCATAGCTCTGTAACCCTGTCATTTCACTGTGGGCAATTATAATTTTTTTGGCAATGAAAATAGATTAAATAAATAAAAGCTCTTGAGAATGCCCAGGAGGAAGATTATAGCCTTTCGCTTGAATGTGACTCAAAACACCCATTTAACTGGGCAATTGGTGTCTACATATTTTGGTAGAAATCTTTATGAATCTGTAAAAAATCATGGGCATTTCAGTTACCCCCTCTTCATGCACAAAAGCATTTCCTTCTTAAGGAAAGGTGAAAGGCATTTTTGTCTTTCAGTAAAAAGTGTTATATTTGTGTGTGTATGTATGTGGTGTGTACCACCATATGCCTGTGCATGCTTGTGTGTGTGATTTTACATTGCTTTCCTGGTAATTTCATCTGGTTATCGTAGGTTTACATCTGGAATCACGATTTGCATGTGATCAGAGCTATTGTGCCTTTAGGATCAGTGGTACATGCTGTTTATCTGTCCGTGGTTTATTTAATTTTAGTATTTCACAATATGCTATAATGTTATTTAATTTCCAAAATTCTTTTTGTTGTTTTTATTTTACCCATAAGCAGAAATGTGCTTAACATACATCTGGAGATCTAAGCAATTTAAAAATTGAGCTTCCTTTTTTTAAAAAAATAATATTTTAAATACATGAATTTTCATTTTCTTTGTTTCCCTCCTCTTTTCATTTCCCTCGCCCCCATCAAGTAACCTGTTTCTTTGTGACTGTCAATGCTGCTTTCAGCTTCTAGTTATGTCTAGACTATCAAAAGTAGAGCCAGTGTTCTCAGGAATTTCAAATTTAGGATTTGTTAATTCTCTGTAGCAACTCTCCAAGGATGACTTGTTTACAGCACCTCCTCAGGGAGGAGAAGGAGAAAAAATGTGCAGAGAGAGCATGACCCAGTGAAACCGGCACAGCCATTACCTCATCCTAGTAGCTACTTCAGATTCATTGAGAGAGCAGGCATCCTCTCAGTGGAAACCAAACACCAGGAGCACACCCATCTCAAGGCAGAAGCCTTTCTCCTCCCATAGCAGCCTCTACTGTGTTGCTCTGCTGAGGTTAAAGGGATATTTTCTCTTTTATGGATTTCTTTTCAAGGATCTTGAACTTGATCATAAGTATGCAACCAGAAATGAAACTTGGCACAGCATACCCGAAGGAATAATTTCATTCCTTTACCACTTTGGGCTTAAATCGATTTGCAAATTTTCTAAACATCAGAAGGGAGAAGGAAGAAAAATGCTTGTTGGTGTATTTTTGCATGTTTTCTTATGACACCCATTTTTTGGTCAAATTTTACTAGCAACTAGATAATAGACTGGATTGTTATGCTTTTGAAAAATGGAGTTGCACTGTTGGACTTTAAAATGAAATAGTTACAACGTTTGCTTAGATGTATACATGACAATATATGGATACTAAAAATATTCATTGATGTCCCCATAAGACTGACCATATGAAACCAACTTGGGAATTTTAGTATTCAAGTTGATCACTTTGGTTAATGAATTCCTTTCAATGTTTAATTTCCTCTTGACAGATTAAGATAAAGACTCTGAAATAACAGTTACAGTGGATGATAACACCACCCCCAAGTCAATACCATATCCCTTAATGCTAAAGATAGTCATTTAGGTAAGTTATTAGTAATGCATTAGTAGAAGTTATCCAAAGATAACATTCTGGAACAGTCATAAACTCTTATGTCTCTGAACATCAGGTAAAGATGCTGTTACGCTCTTTGAGTCATATCTGATTCTCTCAGATATGTCTGTTCTTTTTCTACTTTAGTTCTCCCTATGCCTTTCTTAATGCCATTGCCTTGATCTGCTCAATCTAGACCTTCTTATGTGTGAGCAGTATTTTGATCATTTCACTGATTTTCTTCCCTCTTTTCATTCCATTCTTTTAAATCTCATATTTGAATGTTAGACTTCTCTAGGCATTTTGTCTTCAATACTGTTACTCTCAATACAAATTTAGCCTTTACTTTTCATTTAGCAGAGTATTTATTCTGATTTATTTATTTATTTAATTTATTATGTATCTCTTAAGTTTCTACTGGATGCAGAATATTGTACTGGGGACTATGTATAGAGACACAAAAAATACTACAGGGCTTCTGGCTTTAAGAAACTTATACAACAATGTAAAGCAATTATACTCCAGTAAAGATGTAAAAAAAATAAATCTTAAAAATAAAGTTAGAGGGATTTGTTTCTTTTGTAATGGGGAATAACTAAGAAGTAACATTTAAATGAGCAGCT